GGATTCGGCCCTGGCTTCCAAGACCAATCGAGGCCCAGGTGTTCAGGCCTTAATCTCCCGTGATGTCATCAGTAGCCAATCAGAGCCACTCGAGAGGTTGTCCCGGCCTCTGGCCCAGGGAGGAAGGACGAAGCCTGAGCCACCCCAGACAGGGTCCAGCCACCTCCTCAGGCCCCTCATGGGTTCAGACCTGCTTTGGGCGGGTTGCAGACGGCCTGGTTTAGCTCTGGGCTCGGCCAGGCCTGGGTTCAGATCCTGCTGCGTCCTGGCTACGTGACCGGGGACAGGTGTTCATCTGCCTGTGCCTCAGTCTCCCGCTCTGTGGAATGGGCCCCATGTCTGAGGAGGGCAGAGTCTCCCGTGCCTGCACGGCGCCTTGTACGCAGTTAGCTCGGGACACGGGGCTGGGGCTGTGTTCCCTCCACGCAGCGACCTGGGCCAGAATCGCGTGTCTCTTGTTCCGCTGGGGGACAGCCTTCGGTTCTGGCCCTACACTTGATCCTGTCTCAGCCTCCTGCCCCCTGCAGTGTACCCAGGGCTCAGTTCCCTCCCAAGCTGGTGGCTTCTCAGCCACCTCCGTCCACACCGTCCCCTGCCCCCATCCCCATGTCCCTTCTGGGCTTTTCTAAGCAAATACATGTGTTCTGTTTCCGTTTTATACAAACAACAGCATCGTCTACATCAGGAGGTGACACTTTTTCTCTAAAATGCCAGAGAGGAAATCTCTTCGGCGCTGTAGGCCAGTCTGTCTCAGCGGCAACTCAATCCTGCGGTCATAGCGGGAAAGCCGAGAAATGAATGGGCGTGGCCGTGTGCCAATAAAACTTTATTAACAAAAACAGAGGGCTGGATCTGGCCCAAGGGCCGTGTTTTGTGACTCTTGGTCTATACCATCTTTGCCTTTGAACTTTGCCCACGTAGCAGCGTATCCTGGACTTTGTTCCAGTGTGTTTGTCCTGCGAGCTCTGTTGCTGGTTTTAGAAGGCCTGGCCTTTGCACGCCAAGTCCCTGCGGATAGATGTTTAGACCGTCTGTTGTTCCTGCTAGCACCCCAGGACGAATCCATGTGTCACTTCTTTAGTGCACGGCACGTAGGTCTTAGATGCTGAGCTGAGGGCTCCGGGGGTCTCTGGTGGGCGACGTCCAATTGCCCCCTCCCTGGCCAGCGCTCCTACCGGGCTCACCTTCCCAGTGCTGGGATTGGTCACATGTTTGTCACTTGTCCATCGGGGTGGAGAGAGAAGGGTGTGTTCGTCTGCTCGGGCTTCCGTAACGAAGTACCCCGGACTGGGGGACTTAACAGGAATTTCAGGTCTAGAGGTTGCAAGTCTGAGATCGAGGTGTCCGCAGGGCGGGTGTCGTCTGAGCCTCTCTCCTTGGCTGCAGACGCTGTCTCCTCCCTGCGTCCTCACGCGGTCGTCCCTTTCTGCGTGTCTGTGTCCTCATCTCTCCTTATCCCAGGGCCCTAGTCCTACCGGATTAGGCCCACCCATGCGCCCTCATTTTACCTTAATCCCCCCTTCGAAGACCCTGGCTCCAAAAACAGTCACGTTTTGAGATACTGGGAGTTGGGACCTCGACATACAAATTTGAGGTGGCGAGTAGGGGACACAGTTCAGCTCTTAACAAGGGGCTGGTGGTTGTTTTAATTTGTACCGAGGAGGCCGCCCCCACCCCAGGGGACCCGTAGTGCATCGAGGTGACAGGCCAGCGCAGAGCTGGGGCGTGCTAGGAGTTAGAGCGGAAGGAGCGGCCACCTCCCCCACCCTGGCGTCGACTCCAGCTAAATTAGGCCACAGAGCCCGTTGCCGTCGTGGTTTGCAGAGCGCTGGAACGGAGGCAACCCGTCAATTAGCCGCTGGCCTCAGCCCAGAGCCACGGTCCCGCCGGTCACAGGCGCTCAGGGCTCAGAAGCTCCCCGGGGGACGAACCGGGGGGTTAGTTTGTCCTCCTTGTCCCCCAGTACCCCGACTTTACGGCCAACAGGAGCCGGCCCCTGGCCAGCCAACAGGGACTCTGAGGACTTGTGGCCTGACACCTAGCATGGTGCTGACAGCACCCGGGATCGAGTTGTTTATTTAATGAGCGCCTGCTGTGTGCCAGGCCCTGCGCTGGGTGCTGGGGATGCCGTGGCGACACCGATACATCGTTACACGTGGCGTTCGATGCTCTGGCTCAAGCAGTCGGGAGTCTGGGTGGCTCTAGAAGGAAGGTGCGTGAGCTGTTTGGGAGTGACATTCAGATACGTAGACGGGGCGGGTATGGCGATTCCAGGCCAAGGGAATGGCAGAAGCAGGTGACACGGGAGTGGCCTTGGGGACTGACACTCTCCCGGTGTACGGAGGAGGGAAGAGCTGTCAAGGCCGGGTGGGCCCAGGGCTGAGGTCACACAGCCGGGCAGGGGCTGGTCCCCGGGCCCGGAGGGGCGGCCGTGCCGTGCTCAGACCTCTGCCCTGTTTCTCCCCCGTCCCCACCCTCAGAGGACCAGCTGCCCTCCGGCTTCCCCAACATTGACATGGGCCCGCAGTTGAAGGTGGTGGAGCGCACGCGGACAGCCACCATGCTGTGCGCCGCCAGCGGCAACCCCGACCCCGAGATCACCTGGTTCAAGGACTTCCTGCCCGTGGACCCGAGTGCCAGCAATGGGCGCATCAAGCAGCTGCGATCAGGTGAGCGCGGGCGGCCGACAGGACGTGGGAGCCGTGGAGGGTGGTAGGGGAAGGGCAGCCATGGAGGTCATTGGCTCTGGGGGAGAACGTCTTCAAAGCTGCACCAGCGGGGCTATAGTGGGGCACAGATGGGCAGAGGTAATAAATAGGGAGCCACGGAAGGTGGCGGAGGGAGAGCATCTTCTCTACTAAAGCCATAGGCATGTCTAGGGAGGATATAATGGGGCCTGGACAGGGAGTGACAGAGTGCAGCCATGAAATGCAATGGCAAGAGAGGAGACAGCGCAGGCCATAGACAGGTAAGGTGCTGGGGAGCCTTAGAAGGCTACAGGGAGAGAGTGTCTCCAAGGCTAAAGCAGTAAGGATGGAATGGGACAGAAGGTGGTGGTGAAGGTTTGGGTCCGTGACAGGCACAGACGGATAGGTAGCCCGGCCTGTTTGTTCAGGCCCTGGCTGGCGTAGGGAGACCCAGGGACAGAGCACAGGCCTCAGCCACCTTGGGGACAGATGCTCCCACCACTGGGCTCGGCACAGCGCCCACGCGCCCCATCTGTCGGTCCGTCTGTCTGGGGGGCCGTGTGTGCGCGTTGTGTCTGTCGTCCCACCGCCTCACAACATGTCTGCGTGTGCGTGTCTGGGCTCCCTGCGCCGGCCTGGCCTGCTCATGGGCACGGGCGCGTGGGCCAGGCTGGCAGCATCCACGGGTCACCGTCCCCTTCCCAGAGCAAAGCTCGTCCGCGTTGCGGTCCCTGCTGTGTAGGGCGCGCAGGGCGGTGGCCCGCGTGCACACGTCCCCACGGTGCTCATGCATCGTGACACGTGTGCTAGGGATGTGTCCGTGTGCCCTCCGTGCGTCTCTGTGCCTCGTGAGCACGCGTGTCGGTGCCCGTGCCTGTGTGTGTCCATGTCACGGATTTGTTTTATTTTTTTTCAATAATTCAGAGCTCGAGGCCCTTGTTTCCGGTTCCTGGTGGAATCGCCCCGCACCTCCCGTGCGCAGCGAGCGCCTTCTGTTTTCTTTCTCCCCTTGCTCTGAGAATCCCGCCTTGGAAGCCCCCCAGCCCCTCCCAGCAGACCTCCCGTCACCCTCGGGGGGGCCCCCCAGCTTACTGCCCCCCCCAGCCCATCAGCCCGACCTCCACTGGCAAAGACCCCGCCCCTGGCAGAGGGCAGACGCGGAGCCCAGAGTTCTCTTCCCTGAGAGCCCCAGACCTCGCACTGGGAAGAGGGGGAACCTCCCCCGGGGGTGCAAACTGCGGGCCTGTTTGCAGCTCGCGGGGCTCCGACAGGGGGCGCGATAGCTTCCACCATCGGAGCCCACGGGGAGGGAAACAGTTGACAGAATAGAGACCTCAGAGCCTGATGGCTCCGGCGCAGATGCCAGCTCTGTGCCCCAGCGTAGGTCACCCTCTCTGAGCCTTGGTTTCCTGCATCCTAGCATTCTCGTGACGTCACCAGGAAGGGATGCCTGGCACGTAGTAGGTGCTCAATGAACATAAGCCGTCTTTTTTTTTTTTTATAACCAGAATAAACCTTATTGTCATTCCGACACCCCCTCTCCTCCCCACCCCAAGGAGGAGACAGACTTCTGAGTAACCACCCACCACCCATTAATGTTCCTGTTCTCTTTTCTTATCCCTCTGTTGTAAACACTCAGAAACCTTTGGTAAGTCTGATTTCTTCACCACGTCGACAACTAACGCCCCTCCCTGTGTCCCTCTCCTGCCCTCCCCCCACACTAACAGCCACCGTGACAGTAACCGTGACCCACTCTGCGTGGCATGTTTACTAACGCCCCACCCCCACCAGCCACCCAGCCCTCCCCACCGGGCACCAGTGGGCTGCAGAGAGAGGAGCCCAAAAGGAAAAGAGGAAAAAAAAGGCAAGTCCACAAAGATCCAGCCAGACATCCTCAGGCCAGTGGAACTTCATATCTAACAGTTGAAACTACCTCCCTGCTCCATTCTTTTGGCCTTAGCACTGCTAGATAAGGATTTAGCTACAGAAGTTTGGGGGCTGGGGTAGGGTGGGGTGGGGAATTTTCCAAGTGGGCCAGTACTAGGTACTTCCCACCCATTTTTCCCAGCATTCACCTGGAATCCCCTGAAACCAACTGCTGGGCTAATTTTTACTAACGTGAGAGTGACTAATATTGACCCATGGTAGTCTCTTCTTAGCTCCCTCGGAGTAAGAAGCAGAACTGTCTTTAATGCCTGAGAGATACATCCTTTCTACTCAGCAGAGTAGCCTTGGGCACTTTGGTCATCTTGAGCATCGCTCACAGGTAGTGAAACAGTTCAAATCAAGGGCCAATCTAGATTCCTGTTCTCTACAGTGTGACCCTGGGCAGAATCTCATTTGTTCCCGTATAAAGGGGGAAGAGTAGCCTCATGGGTTGAGGATAGCCCCCAAAATAACAGGTGGCCAGGAGTGGCTCACACCTGTAATTCCAGCACTTTGTGAGGCTGAGGTGGGAGGATCACTTGAGACCAGGAGTTTGAGACCAGCCTGGGCAACATAGCAAGACCCCATCTCTATAAAAAAATATAAAAATTAGCAGGACATGGTGGCATCTGTAGTTCCCAGCTACTCAGGAGGCTGAGGCAGGAGGACCCCTTGAGGCTAGGAGTTGGAGGCTGCAGTGAGCTATGATGACACCACTGCACTCTACCCCAGGCGACAGAGTGTGACCGTGTCTCAAAAAAAGAGAAAAAAGAAGAGGGGCCCCAGAAAGTTCAAGCTAGAGGTTCCCTAGCCCAGGAGGCCAAAGGAGCTGGGCTCAAGGCCCCCCCAGCTTCTTGCTCATGACGTAACCTCAGAGACTCTAAGCCTGGGGCTTCAGTATGCCCATCTGTGTAATGGGTCTGGGCCACACAGAAGAGGCTGTTTTCTCACCTGTCCAGCCCCTCCTGCCAGCTCCTCAGCCCTGATCTTGGGCTCTTCTTGTCCCGGGCCGAGTGGTCTGCCATCCTCAGAGCCCGAAACTCCGCCCTCCCCAACATGAGCCGAGGGCGTAACATTCCAGCCTGGGGGCTGCTTTTCCCGCCCCCCCGCCCCGTAGACAGCTCTTTCCTCTTTTCCTTTTGGAAGTTAAGAGAGCTGCAGGGCTCCCTCCCTGTGCCCCAACCCCTTCTCCGGTCTGTGTGTGAGACCTTCCCCCTGCTTCCCTAATGCCTGGCCCCGGGGCACTAACCCCTCCCACCCCCGTGTCTCTAACACGATTCCCGAGACTCCGATTTCTTCCTGCCCGCCTCACCCCTCGTCTGGACTCAAAAGTGGGTCCCTTGCTGGGCCCCCCAAGAAGGAAAGAAGGAAGGGTGGTTATGAAGGGCCCGGCCAGGCCAACAGACCTCCTCCTGGGCGCAGAGACCTCCTCAGGCCCTCCCAGAGAGGCTCCTGGACTCACTTCCCCCAACCCCCAGAGATTGCCGCCTCCTCTGGGAAGCCCTCCTGCTCCGGCACACCCTCAGACCCCGCCCCGCCCCTAGGAGGCTCGTCCTGCCTCCCTCAGCAGAGCCTGCATGGTCTGTGGGCCCAGGGCTGGCTCCATGCCCCCGGGGCAGAGTGGACGGGCCTGGCTCTCGTGGCCTGGCCCAGCCTTCCCGGGGGCCCCCCGGCCCCCCACAACTGCCTTCTGACACTCACTGACTCTCTCTGCTTCCCTTACAGAAAGCACTCCGATCCGAGGTAAGAGGCTCTCCCCTCACTCACCCACCCACTCACGCGCTCTCGCTGCACACCAGCCCCCAGACTGCCCGGGGGCCGCCCCCAGAACCCCCTGCCCCCCCACACGTGTCCTCCTGGCCACCCCACCTGGTGTCTGTCCAGTTTCTGCGTCTGTGTCTCTGTCTGCGGCTGGGGGGCCGAGGGTGACCAGAGTGACTCTTTAGGTCACCTGGCTGTGGGAAGGGGGCTCTCTTCTCCCCGAGAAGGGCACTCACTGCCTCGCACGCCCACCCCAATCGCCGGGAGTCAGGTGCGCTCTTGCCACCTGTAGCGTGATTGTGCAGAGAGGACCTTTTGGCTTTACAAGGAGACAGAGACAGGCGTTCTCAAAGGCCAATTCTGACTCTGCTCCCCTGTCCCCCGCAAAGTGCTACCCCCGAGAGAGACTAGAATAGGCCTAAGGTGGGAGCCCTGGGGAAGAATCAGTGTCTAGTTCCAGCTTTGCTATGAAATGCTGTGTGACCTAGAGCAAATTCCCTACCCTCTCTGGGCCTCCACAGCGATACCTACCTGCCTGCTTCCCCAGAGCCTTGAGATCAGGGAAAAGTAAGACATGTTCTCCGGGGGCAGAGCCCTCATCCATGGCCCCCACAGAGAACCTCCTAATCTGTGGGTCTATGTCATTCTTATGGGGCAACCACGAACACAGCTGGGAGCTTGGCATTTTTAGACTCCTGGTGCCACAAGCTCTGATTGAAGCCTGTGATTCAAACACACTTGGGGATATTCACCCATCATTTACTCATGGTCAACAGGCACGTGGGGCCAGGCCTGTGATTCAAACATACTTGTGGAAACCTGTGCCTCAGTTTTTATTTGTGGGCACTTAAGTATTTGAATAAAGGCCTGTAATTTCAAACACACTTAGCTTCATTTACTGTGAAAATGAAGACTTGTTCTAGGCTCCTGATTTCAAATGTCCCTGGGGACATCTTGGCCTTGATTTCATTTACTCGCGGGCACTGTGGTGTTTGATCAAGGCCTGTGATTTTACATATTCTTGGGAAGGTTCATTCATTTTTTATATGTTCATGTGAGAAGTGAAGTCTTTGAGCTGGGCCTGTGATTTCAAACATACTAAGAGGAAATCAGCCCTATTTTGATATACTCATGGACACCAAGACCTTGGATTTGGGCCTGTGATATTAATTGGCCTCTTCTTGGTATCTTTATTCGCGATCAACAAATTCTGATTTGTGATTTCAAATACACTTGGAACATTTCAACCTCAGCTTTATTTGTGAGTATAAGAGGCTTTTAATCAGAACTCGGATCTCAAACGCCTTTGAAGATTTAATGTAATCTTCGTGCACCCGTGAGCATCGTGAAGTTAGGTCTAGGATGGTAATTTCAAACACACTTGAAGATGTTCATTCAGTTGTACTTCAGGATCTTGAATTTAGGCCTGTGGTTTTAAACACAGGTAGAGGGATTCAGGCTGACTTATTAATCCTTAGAAGTCTTCAAATACCTGGGGAAATTCTGACTCTTCAGTTAGTGTCAGACACAGGCGGCTTTGATCCAGGCCTTTGATTTCAAACATACTTGATGCATCTCCATCTCAACAACCTTTACAGTAGCTGTCATGGGGTGTAAACCAGTCCTGAAAGTTCAAGCACCCTCAAAAAAGTACAACCCCATCTCCATTTATTTATAGGCACCAAGGGCCTTTGACGCCTATGATTCCAAACACACTTGAGGAATCCAGACCCACGTTCATTTACTCATGTGCACTGGTTAAAATCAGCCAAGCAACCACCAGCTCCCTGGGTGTTCACCTGACTTGTGGTAGCCCTGTAGGTCCCTGGAGCTCTCAAACGCTCCCCCAGCTTCGTAGTTCAACTTGGCAATTGTTTCTGTGGAGCCTTAGCCACAGGACCGGCTGCTTTGACAGTGAGAGTGGAGGGTTTGCTGGGGAATCTAGTGTGTTCAGGCCAGCGTGGGGCTAGACTCAGGGTGGGACTTACACAAGCCTCCGCCAAGCTGGGGCTTCTAGGCTAACTCACCTCTTCGTCTGCCTCTCTGGGCCGGCCAGAAGAGGGGACGGGCCACACAGCACTTTGGTGGGACGGCCTTCCCCACCCGCTCCCCGGCCCGCCTCTGACAGGCCGAGCTTTCTCCCCTCTCCCCGCAGGGGCCCTGCAGATCGAGAGCAGCGAAGAGACCGACCAGGGCAAATACGAGTGTGTGGCCACCAACAGCGCCGGCGTGCGCTACTCCTCACCCGCCAACCTCTACGTGCGAGGTAGGGAACGCCGCGTCCAGCTCAAAGGCAGGGACCTCCCTGTCCCGTCCCCCTCCCTCCCTCCTCGGGCTCACAGCCTCTGGGCTCCCCCGTCCCCTGCAGACCCCAGCAGGAAGGCCCCTCCCCGGTTGCCATGGGACCTCGAGCGAGGCAGCATCCTTCTCCGGTCCTCAGTTTCCTTGTCTGTGAAATGGGAGCAGGTTGAATCCTCCCCCACCCCCGTGCCTTGCAGTGGGTGACCCTGGGGGAGTCAGTGGTGGCCGGGTGGGAAGGCATGGGGCAGGGCAGGGGGGGTCAGTCTTGGGCCTACAGGGCCGGGGGAGCCTGCAGGCCTCTGCCCTGCCCCACCCCCCCCGCCCTCCCCCCTGAGTCGGCTTCTGTGGTGTGTCGTGCCTTCCCGTGTCGTGTGCTGGCTTCGCTTCTCCCGACTCTGTGGCCTCGTAGCGCCCTGCTGCACTGCCCCCCACCCCGTCCAGCGCCCTCGGTCTCCGAGTCGGGAGGTGGGGGGTCTTCGAGGCCACCCCCCGCCTGCTGGTCTGGTCCCTGCACCTGCGGCTGTCCCCGAGCCCGGTGCCCTCTGTCTCTTCCTAATGACCCTCGGCAAAGGAGAGCCAAGGCCATCGGGCGGCCGGGGCCACGGCGGGCACATGCGCTCCGGGGGCTCAGGGTTCCACCCGGCTGGGGCAGGCACGGCACCCAGCGAAGCCTGTCACTCTCACCTCCGGGTCTCGCTCAGTCACGCCCGGAAGCCCGGGTCCTCCCCCCCTGCACTCTCCTGTCCCCCTGCCCCAAGGAAGCTTCCGTATAAACGTCCTTGGTGCCCCCCCCAGGGTGCCCGGGGCTCCCCTGCTCCCGACGCCTCGGTTGCCCTCCTCTTACGTCCTGGCTGACTTTCTCAGGTCCTCCTCCGCCCTTTCCCGCCTCCTAGTCAGTGGCTGTTTCTGATCAGAGTCGTGGCAGAATCAGTTCCCTCCCACCGGGACGTCGGGGCCCCCGTTCAGACCCCAGGGCTGCCCCGATCTGCTCTGTAGAACTGACTCCATCACATCCGTCTCCAGGCCTCAGTTTCCCCCATGTGAGGCACCAAGCCCTGGTTCATTCTCCCCCGAGGAGGCCGTGCGGCTCCTCCCCTGCCCACACACCCTCACCCGCTCTGTCCCCACCCGCCATGGCTCCCACTGGCCCTGAAGCAACTCCTTGGTCCTGGACCTTGGATTTTGCATCTTGTCTCTGCGGAGGAGGCCACACGGACGGGGTGGGAATCGGGATGTGGGTGTGTGGGTGGGCAGGGGCCGGCGGGGCGGGGGGCACGTCCGATCCGCCGTCACGGCGCCTCCGGTGAGTTGCAGACGCGTTCGTGACTCCAACGGACTGGTCTTCGCTTAACCTGCTTGTTTCTCTGCCAACGTCTGGGATGGGGCTTTGCGAATCCGGCAGGGCTCGAAAGAGACAGTGTGGACGGCGGGTGCGGGGCAGGGAGCGGGCTGGGGGGTGTTAGTGAGGGTGCGAGGAGGGAGGGGGTCCTTCCGTGTCCTCAGCCCCCAGGGCTGGGCTCCCCAGCCCGAGCCCCCTTCCTCTCGGGGTGCACCGGCGGGGCTTAGGTCCGGCCTCCCGATGTCAGATGCTCCAAAATTGAATTGAGAAAAGAAATAAGAAAGAAAAAATGTAGGTCTTGTGTGTCAAGGGCAGAGTGGAAGGAAAGGAAAGAAGGTCATTGCTGTTATTTTTGTTTTTTAATTTTAATTTTTTTTTTGTTTTTGGTTTAAAGAAAAAACAACAAACTATTGCAGCTTTTAGCCTTGGGAAGGCCTCTTTTTACTCTCTGTATCTCCCCTATTTTTTTCTCTTCTTCCCATGTCATTGTGTTCCGCATCAAACCCCCTTTACATCCCTCAGAGCTTCGAGAAGGTTGGTGTGTTTTTTTCTTTTTTACTTTCTTTACCCGCATTTTTACATTCTGAAAAAATGACACGCACACGCACGAAACACCTCTAGACACCACACCGACACGCGCTGACATGCACACGGAAAAAAAAAAAAAAAAATGAAAAATAGAAAAAAAAAACGATCACAAAGATGGAATGTGAATCATAAGCGCAAAGCAAAAACAAAATAAAACAAAAAAAACCCGCCAAGTGAGAGCAAAAACCCAGAAAGACACGAAAATCTCAGCCGCGCCCAGCCCGGCCTAGGGCCGGCCGCACACATGCGATGCTTGCATTGTGTTTCGCCTCTGCATCCGTTGGTAATGTTGTTGCTAAGTTTTTTGCACTCCTCGTCGTCATGGTAACTTGGGCCTGATGCATGCTGGGAGAATGTAACAATTTCTCTGCATGCCTCTTGTTGGTTTGGTTTGGTGAATTCCCAACGCCTTCTGTTGGAGTGTTTCTCGTCTTCCGTTCTCTTCTTCTCTTTTGGTTTTCTTTTTTTTTTTCTGTCGTTCTTTTTCTTTCTTTCTTTTTTTTTTTTTTTTCTTTTTCTGGTTTTGTTTAGTTTTGGGGGAGGAAATCGATTGGTTCATTTTTTTCCCCTCCTCGCATTCCTTTTACCCAGTCCCCTTCTCCCCCAAAGCGATTTCGTCTTTGGTTCTGTCTTGTTTCTGTGCTATTTGGTTTTTGGTTTCTTGGGCTGAGCTGTTCTGTGGTTGTTCTCCAAACGCATTGTGATTTAAAAGCCAGTGTTCCTGTCCCAACTATCACCCAGGAGGGCGGAAGGGGTCCCACAGCTGGGATGCTGGGGCAGAAAGTGACCACTTAGGCACAGGGACACAAGGGGGGTGGCACGGATGGATGGCGGGAGGTCTGGGTGGGGTGTGAAGGGGGAGCAGCCCAATATGCCTGAACTTACCGGCCAGCCCCTCTTTTCCCAGAGCCGGTGCCTCATCCACCCCTCCTTGGGCGGCCATGTTGGAAGGAGGTTCAGCCAGGCAATCCATCCTTCTGTCTCAGCATTAGACTACCTTCCACCCTCCCAAATTACCCAAAAAACCAGGCAGTTGAAGTACAGCTGAGTGTGCACCAGCACTTTGAATTCTCGTTTAATTTAGTGATACATCCAAATATGGATAGTGGTCAACTTAAAGTCAGGATGGGGGAGGGTGATCACAGCACCATCCTCCCAGGATGATGCGTGCATGGCACATAGCACTCAAAATGGCAGCTGGCGTGAAGACTTCATACATTCTGTCTGGGGACATGTTCAGAACTGCCCATCAGAAAATGTAGCATGGCAGACTGTGAAAGGAAAACTTGGCCAGTGGTCTGGCCTGGAGTACTACGCCTCCGCCTGCCGGGCGACGCTGGCTGCTTCCTCCGTCCCCTCTCAGACTCTGGGCTCAGTCACAGGCATCTTTTGTCCAGCAATGCGGCATGGTCACTTTCTGAGTACCCGAGCATCAGAGCTGTGGAATTCTGGAGAAAACCCAGGGGCTCCTTGGACACAGCCTCTCCCCTGCTCTCTCTGCCTCCTAGACTCTCTCTGCTTCCCTCTCTCTCTCTCTCTCTCTCAGCTTTCTTTCTCTCTGTGTGTCTCTCACTCTTGCAAACCTTCAGAGATGCACACCCCCATCTTCTCCTCCCTCCCCGAGAAAAAGCAAGCCCTTGAGAGCCCTGCTGCAACCCCAAATAAAAACCAACCCCCAATGAAATAATCCACTTAGATTTCTAGCCCCCCTGCCCCCAGCTCACTACTCCATTTAGATGATAGTTGAGGGCAGAGGCCAGCCTCTTTAGGACTGTTCCTCGCCCTCCTTCTCTAAACGCCTAATTATTAAATCCAGGGCCAGGTTGGCAAGAGGACTTTTTTTTGCAGGAAGAAGGGTTTTATTTCTCTTATCTCCTACTAACCCAGTGTGAGAGCTGCCAGGCTAACCCTCAGGAAAACCCCAAAAGATGGAAAAAAGAGGTCTCCTAATCCCTCCACCAAAGCTAGGTCCTGGGGAATTGGAACTGGGCACACTAAGGGTCTCTGAAGACCACTTGGACTTTTTGCAGCACTCATCGGGTACCCTATGTCATGAACATAAAAAGTTACCCATAGGATTATTACAAGATAGGGAAGCGAAGAGTTTAAGCAAATGATCTGGGTGCGTCACCTCCCTTCTGTGGGGGCCCCGGTTTCCCCAGTACGTACTTCACACGTCCACTGTTTGAATAAGATGGCATCTGGAAAGAATCGTAGGGCAGAAGCTAATTCATCTGCTCAGACCTCATTTTTCAGTAGTGCTTTTCTGAGCTCATCTCATGATCTCGTTACCTCCTGGCTCCAACTCCATCCCCGTGAGATGAGCGGCCTCCCCAGAGCCACAGCTCTCATCCGGCCCCTGCCGTTTCCCTAGGAATTTCAGCAGCCACCGAAGGGGACAATAAAGGCCTTATTTAAGGACTAGGCTACCCTTGCAGATAAGTACCAGCCCGCCAGAAGAGACAGGCTGCCTGGCGTGTTCTGCCCTGAAAGCTACAGATATTTACATTGTTGCCGGAGCAGCCAGTCCCAGGAAGGAATTGCAAGAAACCCCTAGCCCCCAATAAGACTCTTCTTGTAACCAACAATATCTGCAGTTTCTGCTGAAATCTGGGTGGTTCAGGGGCAGTTTAATCAGACTAGCTCTTCTTCTCCTGAACTTTCTCTCTGGGATCCAAAGAGCTGAAGTCAAAACCATGCCCATTTTTTTAAGATCGCTTGCAGCAGCTCCGGTCCCAGAACTTGCTTGGCAACGATGTTGCTCAGGCTTTTGACAAGGTGGGAAGATGATCAGATTATATTCTCCCTGGCTGTTAATTTTCTTTTCTGTCTTTTTAAAACTGTAAGCCTTTAAGGTATGAATTAGTAAGCTCAAGATGGTGTCTTGGCCACCTGGTCTAGCAACGTAGTATTATTGAACCATGGTGCACAGGACCCAGTTAAATGGTGCGCCCACCCGCCTGATGCCGCAGGACCTTGATACAAGCTGGAGACCTCAGGGAGAACTTTCTGCCTTGAAGGGACTTAGGATATCTTCA